ACATTTACCAATATATGTTGTTTAGTGTGAAATAGTGACAAATTTCACTGTTCAACCTATTTTTAATCTGGAAAATATGATAGACACTACACCTTAACGAAAATCTTTTATTTGGTACAGTTACAATTCTGAAGTAATATTCAATTTTTACAGAAAAAGTACGTTTTTAAAAATATATTTTCATTAATTATTGTTATATAATATATTCATTATTATTCTTTAATTATTGTTTTATAATATATATATATAATATGGCATTTGAGCCAGAAAGTGTAGCTTTAGACTTCTCTTGACTGCTGGGTTTATACATTTCCATTCACAATTTCATGTGTTTTTATGTGCATAATTAATGTGTAGTAACATTTATATTTTATATAGCTTTTCATGCACTGACATTGTAATAGATGTAAGTGACTCTTCTCAGTGACTCAATCTGGGGTTTCAGTGAGAGCCAGTCTGCCTGAAATTGGGTGATGACTGCTGTGTTGTCCTTCTTGCTCACCCATACTGCTGTGGGAATTTTCATGTTTATTTGTAAATCAAAGATTTTACACATGGTAATGGTTACAGGGAAAGTTAAACTTTGCCTGTGTGTGTGTGTGTGTGTGTGTGTGTGGGGGGGGGGGGTCTTAAAGCTCAACGCACAATCTTTTAAAAACAGTTTAAATGTAATTTTCCAAAAACATTTATGGTTTCTCCTTAGAATATGTCCTAAATAAAGTCCTAGAAGCTCAGGAATAGTTTTAAAATATTTACATTGCTGTGGTCTTCCTCAAATCACTTGATTTCTGCCTGGAATACAATATTTCATCTTTGACATTAACTTAATTTATTATTACCACAGTTGTTATTTTTTATTTATAAACTAGTTAATATTTACTGTATACACTTAAAAGGTTTTTCATCATGAAGAACATCCTAAAATGTTTTATTTATAAATTTATAAAAATCTACTCTACAAACCATGCAAACATTTTTTATAAAAGGAGATACAAGAAGTAAAGGTTAACAAAAATTAAATGATTATTTAGTGTGTCCACCCTTGCCTTTAAGGCCCATTGCATATGGACATCCTAATTTACTGATGTTTATACTCAGGATCTTGTTAACAGAAAGATCCTGAGTAAAAAAAAAAAGGTTTGCAAATACCTTGCATAAAGGTGTGTCTGCGTTTACACAAGTAAAATTCTCCTCTAGCTCAGCTCACAGAGTGTTCTGTTTTGCATATTTTATAATATAATTCAAATCAATATAATCTTGTCACCTTTTTCCTTGCATGTTACTGCTCACTGCTCTTGATAGAGATCCACAGACAGAGCACAGTGGGGTGGATGATAGGCCCATGTCTGCTTAGTTTATGCCGAACAGACATGAACAGAGCTCTCTCTTCTCTATGGGTGGCCAGGAGTAAATGGGCTCTGCTGTCTGTTTACACCTGACTGCTCTCCAATCTGCCCTTCCCCTTATATATTTTTTTTAAGCGTACCAAATCGGACCGGTGGTAGGCAAGTATAAACAGACACAAGTCCATTTGCAAACGCTGGTACATAAGGGTGAATGGAGGACCTGATCGGGTCCACCTAAAAAACTGACAGGCAGACCTGCTCAGATACTTTGTGTGAAAGTGGATTTATGCATTAAAAATCCTGCCTGTGATATTTTTTTCACACCAAGGCCCCTTTCACCAGGGGTGGACTCCAATTTGATCAGCAAGGGATTTGTCCGCAGATCCCCTGCTGATCAGAGCAGAGTGGGAGTGAGACAGGTCCATGTCCAGACTCTGCTGTCCATTTACATCCGACTGTCTTCTGATCCGCCTAGATGGAGGGGGATGGATCCCCTTCTGTCTTGTTTTTAGCAGACTGGTGGTAGGTGGGTGTAAACACACAAGTACATTTTAGACCCTCTTGTCCATAGGGTTGGATGGAGGGTCCGATCAGGTCCACCTGAAAAATTGATAGGTGGACCTGATCAGATCACCCCTGTGAAAAGGCCCTAAAGTTCCACTTTATTTTTTATATATTATTTACAATTTTATTTTTTTAACTTTTTTTTATTTATTTTTTTTTGGGGGGGGGGGGGGGGTGGCTGTGGTGAAATATCAGGGGTGTAAACAGACCTCTGATGTCTCACTTTGCTGACAGAGGAAGGAACACAGTTTCTTCAATTCCTTTCTCTGTAGCCTCAGCTGTACTGAGCAGTGACATTTGAAAACTGAAAATGAAGCATAATGAATAAAGTTTACTATGCTTCAGTTATGAATGGGCAAAAGAGTGACTGGTACTGATTATGCTGAGTATACATGCGTATAGACGTAGATTGTTGTAGATAACCATATATAAATAATAGACCCTGAGGAAGTCACATGAACAGTGATGCAATGTGTCAGGCGGAGATGGTGATGTCACTTTTGGTTGGACACAAAACCAGTGTGGTGTTGTTCTGCACAACAATCCTGAGATTTGGTATTTTTATGTCAAATAGTGCAATATTTTTAATAATTAAAAGCTGGAAGTTTGAAAATGGTGTTGTGCTATGAGAAATCTCCATTTTATCTGGTGTATGGAAAGTGCAATCTCTTAAAGAATTAAGAATCAAGGTGAGCGTGTATTTCACTAATAGGTGGAGCACGCGGTAGTTTTGGAATGGTGGAACAGTGGCATATTACCATGCACATGTAAACGGTGGTGATTTATGTACTTTACAAATGGAGCCAGATTTGAACTGTTATAATTATATGGACTCTACCATGGATACACAGCACCATTAATGTTGGATGTGTATTATATAACGCACAATATAACTGAGTATATTTACGGTTTATATATAGGCTTTTTTATATTCTATACAAGAATTTAAGTTTATAATATTTTACACAAAACGCATAGTCTATTTCATTTACTGCAAAATTTTATTTAAAGTATAGCTAAAGGCAAATTTTTTTTTTTGTGGAGATGGAGTAGAACACCTATTAGGTTTTCATTGCGGGCTATGCCCGTTAGGGAGATTCATATTCTCTCTATTTGTCCTGTTTACCATTATTGAAAGTGAAAGTAAAAGAAAACCCACAATTTTGGGTTTTCCCCAGAAAAGTAATAGAGAGGAAATCTTCCAACTGGGGCAGTAGTTCTGGGGAGATGGGGGTTTGCCAGGAATTCCCTTAAAGGATAAGTTCATCTTTGGGAACATGTTACATGTTCCACCCGTTTTTAAGGTGCAACATGTAACATGCTCCCAATACTGCAGCCGGCGGTCCCGCTATCCCCCTCCCTCTGACAAGAGTACTATCTGTCAGATTTGAAAATACTGCAACCATGTGGGACTCCACATACACACCTGCAGTGGTTTGCATGAAGGGGGTGCGATTCTGATGTGGTGCAGAAAACGCTGCAAATTCTGCACCGCATCAGTGTGAACCAGGGATCACTCTGTCTAAAATATAAAAAAAAAAAGGTTTTCTTACAGTTCTACTTTAAATCAGTAATAATTTATATAAAGTATGTCAGTGCAGGAGTAATGTTCACATTTTCAATTACTGTAAATAGACGTAAACATGTATTTTATTTTTTTATGCCTCTGTACTCATATCTGCTTTACTGATCTTTTCTCAGCAGTGTGCATTGTGTCATTGACAGCAATGCATCTGATTAGAGATCAGTAAAAAACATTGCATTTTTTAACTCCCATATGCAAGAAGCCTACAACAGGATCAATGCAGTTTTCTGTGGATTTTGGCTGTCTTAGTTGCTTCTGTCTTCTCATGTAAACCCTGATAGACATAATGATATTTAAAACAGGGCTCTGGGTGGCATCAGGGCCGATGCTTCCACTAGGCAAACTAGGCAGCCGCCTAGGGCACATTGCCACTTAGGAGTGACTCTGTGTGGGATGCCTCAACATCATTAATGATCCTTCAACTGAGAGGAGGGGAGGAAAAAAATGACATAGGAAGATGCCGGGTGTCTGGGGTCAGCTGAGCTGCAGCTCCTTCCAGTGTTCCTCTCAGACTCGGTTTACTGGCGGCTGCTGATCACTGTGGAGTCCCAGCCTTTCTCTTCCCATTCATCAGCAGAGGCAGAGCTGCGCCTGCGGAGGAAGGTAGTGTCTGACTTGATGTTTTGTGTCTGAGTGTGACCTGGCCAGCCATCCATCACATGTGCAATGTGTCGGTGAACGATGACATCATCATGATCCCACAGCCTGCTCTTCTAGTGCCTGCTGACCTGTGTCAGTGTTGGTGGTGTGTGTTGTGTCAGATCTGTCACTGTGTGGGATTGCTCAGTTCAGGTTTCCTCTGTGTATGTGTGTGCGCTGGGCTGCATGCTGTCACAGCTTTTTATCCCCCCCATTGCCTGGGGAATTCCAACCTGGGTTCTGTCAGAGTGTGGATCCACCATCCTCCATCAACTGCAACTGTCACCCTGCCAGTGCCAGCCACAGATACAGTCCATCCGTGACACTGTTTTTGTCTTTCATATTGGTGCTGGTGGCATCTTTGTGGAACTTATTTTTGCAATAATAAAAGAAATTTAGCAGTTTCATGTTTTGTTTTAATATTTTCTATTGTTTTCTATTTTTATTTGGGGGGGGGGGGGCACAGTAGCTGGTCTTGCCTAGGACTCAAAAGAGCCAACTACCGGCCCTGGGCTGCATACCACCTTTTCCAGGACTCCTTGTTCTTTTCACTGAACATGTTTCTTTATCTCTTTGGCTGTATATTTGTGGTAAGTATGCTGCTGCAGAATGAATTTGGGCCTCCCTGATAGTATTGCATGGTAGGCAAGTATCTGTAATTTTCAGCATTAAAGTGTTTCTAAAAGTTAATTTGTTTCTTTAACCACTAGCCTACAGGGCACTTATACCCCCTTCCTGCCCAGGCCAATTTCCAGCTTTCAGCACTGTCACACTTTGAATGACAATTGCGCGATCATGCAACACTATACCCATATGACATTTTTATCATTTTTTTTGTGACAGATAGAGCTTTCTTTTGGTGGTATTTAATCACCTCTGGGATTTTTTATTTTTTCTTAAACAAACCAAAAACCACTGAAAATTTAGAAAAAAAACCCGTTTTTTTCTTAGTTTTTGTTATAAAATTCTGTAAATTAGGCGATTTTTCTCCTTCACTGATGTGCGCTAATGAGGTTGCACTGATGGACACTGATGAGGAGGCACTGGTAGGTGGCACTGATGGACATTAACAGGCATCACTGATGGGCACTGAAAGGCAGCACTGATAAATGGCACTGATATATGGCACTGATAGGTGGCACTGGTAGGCGGCACTGACTGGCACTGATAGGTTGCACTGATTGGCAGCACTGATTGGCATTGATAGGTGGCACTGGCTGGCATTGATAGGTGGCACTGACTGGCACTGATGGATGACACTGAAAGGCAGCTCAGATGGGCACTGATATGTGGCACTGATGGGCACTGGCACGTGGCACTGATCGACACTGACAGCTGGCACTGATGGACTTTGACAGGTGGCAGTGCTGGGGCTACACTGATCATCAGGGCACACTGATCGTCAGTGCCCTGATGATCAGTGTACATGTCCCCTCCGCAGGAAGCCATTTACCGGCTCTCCTCTCAAGCTGTCAGTGTGACAGCTCGAGAGGAGAGAAATGCCGATAACCGGCATTTCCCTGTTTAAATGTGATCAGCTGTGATTGCACACAGATGATCACACGACCGAGCCGACATCTTCGGCTCTTTCCGTGATCGGTGATCCGCTGTGTCCGAGGGACACAGCACACCGCTGATAGCCGCGCTGCACGCTCCCTGAGCCGTGCATGCGCGGTGAGAATGGGTGGATGTCATATGACGTCCTCTCAGAACGAGAGAACCACCTTGCACCCGTCATTGGACTATATGGCGGGCAGGAGGTGGTTAAAATAAAAAAATATGTTATACTTACCTGACCTGTGCAATGGTTGTGCACAAAGCAGCCTCGATCCTCCTCTTCTCAGGTCCCTTGCTGGTGCTTGTGGTTCCTCCCTCTTGCTGAGTGCCCCAAGCTCAAGCAGCTTGAGCTTGGAACACTCGCTCCTGAGCCAGCTCTGTGTGTCTATGGGACACACAGAGTGTCATTCAGTCCCGCCCATGTGCCTTACTCACTGGCTGTGATTGCCAGCAATGGGAGAGACTTGGGAGAGCCGAGGCTCCTGTGCACAGCACTGGATGAAGATTGGGCTCAGGTAAGTATGGGGGGGGGGTGGCGGGGGGGAGCTGCACACTGAAGGTTTTTTACCTTCTTGAAAAAAAAACATCACTCGTTACAACCACTTAAAGGAGACCACTTATTCTGACCAAATACCCAGCTTCATGTGCAGAAATATAGCCTCAAACCTGTAAGGAACCTCCACCATGGTTCTGTTGCCTGCTGACACTCCTTTTACTGCTCTTCAAGCCTTCTGTGTACAAACTGTCTTCTACTGGAACCAGATATTTCAAATTTGAACTTTTCAGTTCAGAGAACTCGCTGCCATTTTTCTGCATGCCAGCTCTTGTGTTTTTGTGCAAATCATTTGACCTTGTTTCCACTTCAGATGTAAGACTTTTGTAAAGCATGAATAACCATTTATTCATCCTTTTGGAGTATTGTGGAATTGCGTGCAGGCAGCAAATACAAGTAAGACACAGCATCTGTACAGAAAGCAGGTATGTAGGAACAAGTGCATGGCCCCAAATGCAGACAGTGTGTGTTCAAGTCTGTGCACCTGCTCCTATGTACCTGTCAAACTCAGCTGTACAGGTGGGTCCATGCAGCCATTGTATCTCCATTCACATATATAGGCGCTTCACATTGTACAGGACTGAACACCTGTGTGTCTGAACCCCTGGACACAAATAGAGGGGATGGGGAAGGAATTAGGAAGGATAAAAAGATGGACTGTGAATGAGAGAGGGAAAAGACCTTGTCGAATTGGTAAGAGAAGGGAAGCTGAGGAGTATGATTGGAGCAAATTCCACAAAGTAGAAACAACTAAATGGGATGGAGCAGTTATTGGTGTGTGTGTGGGGGGGGGGGGGGGAAGAAGATTGCTTACAAGGATCCTGTCTCCAATTAGAGCCCCTATCTTAGAGAATCTTTTTTATGTCACTGTAAGAGAGGTCCCCCCTAACAAGCACAAATCAGTGAGCACAGTGGTCTTTGGCATATGGTCCACAAAGACCTGCTTAGGGCAAAGGTGTCCTTATATTCTCACATTTTGCTGTAGATCCGTAGTGCCACCAGCAGGCCTAAATTGTGGTATAATGAGTTAGTCTATGTTGTGCAACATGGATTAGTTCTTCCTATACTACCACTTTGCTATTATGGGTGAACCACTCCTCAAACATGGATATGGATCACCAGAGGGGAAGAGACACATGTGGATGCATATATCATACGTATAGCTAGCAACTTAAAGTATTGATGGTTGGGGATATTCATGTACTGAAATAGATATTGGAAGGGAGTGAGTTGAGGGAACAGCTGTAAGCTGTAACTCCCTCCAAAAACATTGCAGTTCTGGATACTGCTGGCATACTTGAATTAACGTATATTCTTCCATTTCACAGTGCCAATATCGCTCCAAGACTGTAGGAAAGCTTTTGTGTAGCAATGAAGACATTCTAAACCACTGTGACCTCAGCTCGTATCTACTTTTCTGCATGTTGACATTAAGAGATTCCGTATTTATATTCAAATTGACAGATTCCCACTCTTCTTCTGACAATGTATAGCCTAAAACCTGTTCCCAGGCTTCATACATTGCCCCATCTCTGGGGGAATAGCTGTCAAGCTAAGTATATTGAATGGATTATGTGCGAGATACTAATTCTCAAATAGAGGAAGGTGACTTGTGTATGAAGGTTTAACCCAAAGGAAGGTTTAGAGGATAAGTTCACCTTTTGGACACAAATAATAAATGCACATTTTTTTTGCAGGTAATTTATTTTTTTTATTATTTATTTTTTTATTTATTATTTTTGTCCAAAGAAGCCTGGAAAGCATTGCGCCAGCGATCAGTAGATCACTGATGCCATGCAGGTCTCCTGCAGAACTGTCAGAACATCTGCTTGGCCTTACGAGATGTACAAGCAAGCAGATATTCTGACAGGAAGCTTCAATGAACTACCACAGCGCTCCACAGTGCCGTGGTAGTTCATTGAAAACGACAAGTCCACAGCTGCTAAGGCTGTTGGGACTTGCAGTTCATTCATTCAAGGAAGTCTGGAGCCCCATACTTATCCTTTAAAAAGTGCCTAATCAGTAAGGTAAGCCCAGATCTTTACTGGATTTGTTTGGGCAATCAAGGGTAGGTCTCTGTGATCTTGAAAGTGACCTCTGTAGAAAAAGTGTACTGTCAGCATTTAGGCAATGGCCAGTGAACAGATAGGTACTTTCCATTCATGCTGGGGAGAAATCTGGATTTTGGCAAATTGGGGTTAGAAGCCCTTTAATAAATGACATTTAACAAATAGCAAAACAAATAGCTTCCCTACTGCAAAATCGGTCTGATGCTGCAGCTGTCCCCTGCCAGCTCCAAGCCCGTGAACTGAAGGATTACATGACTGCTAATCACTTATTTCTCGGTCCTCTCTGAGCAGAGAGTGGAGACTGTCAGTAACTGCTTTCTGTTCTACCCCTAACACTGACTGAAGCACCAGACAACTGAGAGGCTGATTTAATAGCAAAGTGTACACACCCCAAGTATTGATTAGATTTAGTTTTCTTTTTGTGTATGCACTTTGCAGGTTGGTAATAGATAAATACAAACTTTTCATTGTAATATATTTAAAACCATGTTCACTTTTAGAGCTAATTTTAACATGTAGCTAAACTTTTGCATTTTACTGTATATATTATGACACAATTAGGTTTCATCCTCAAGTAGTAGAGAATGTTCACATTGCAAAGTCACTGTTAACTCAGCTTAATTAATAAGGTCAAACTATGTTCACTCTGATTACCCAATCATGTGAAAAAAGGGAAATTGAAAAACAGAATTGTGACTTGTACATGACCGAATAATTAGAATAAGCATAGCTTTATGCTGTACACCAGGCTAAGTGACTGCTTTTTACTTCTTAGGGGCCCTTACACTAATGCATTGAAATATATTGTGGTAAAATGTGTGTGACTGCAAGGCACCTTAACCACTTCAATACCATACCAATTTTCACGTGACGCGGTGCGGTCACGTGATCTCCCGAAAGGGAGCTCTGGGAGACAGAGAAGCCGGCCGGTTTCCCAAGACAGGGGGAGAAGCCGGCTTCCTCACTGACAGGACACGTGGTACCGGCTCAGCGTCTCGGTGAGAGGAGAAGGGGAGAGATTTGGCTGATCTCCAGTGGAGTCGGAGAGACGCCAGCTTGGGAGAAAGGAGACCCTGTCTGCCGGATACCTGTGAGAGAGGTAGACGGAGGAGGAAGAAGGAGACCCGGAGAGACCCCCCCCCCCCTCCTTCAATTGAGGGGAAGAGGAGTAGAGCCAGAACAGAGGACAGAGATCCTAAAGGACAACCTCCCTAGATCGAAGAAATTAGAACCTCTCTAAAGGACCCATTACAGCATATACCCTAAAGCCTTAAAGAAGAGGGTTTGGACACATATAGAAAAAAATGAAGAGTAAAAATAGCAAAGGGAGTGGTTCCAAGCATTCCCAATCTGGAACAATTAGAAAATTTACGTCTCAAGGTAATGTGACCCCAGAAAGAACTCAGGGGGTAGCTGAAAAAAGTATAATGGAAAACAGTATGGATAAGAGTGCCAGATCATCTGGGGAAATGGATAATAATAGCCAACAAATAATAGGAGGAATAGAGCTAAGAGAAAATGAAGGAGAACTACAAATCCCAAATAAAAAGGAGATGGCAGAAATGTTTGGAAATTTGGAAAAATCATTAAACAAGAGATGGGAATTATTCGGAAAGACTTGGGACATCTTTTGTCCAGAGTAGAAGAAACAGAAGAAAAAATTAAAAAACATGCTCAAGCCATTCCTGAACTGAGAAATCAGATAATGGAGATTAGGCAAGAACAGAAAAAGTTGGGATATAAGTTGGAGATACAAGGTAACATGTATAGGAAAAATAACCTCAGGATAAAGGGAATTCCGGAGCTTGCACAAGAAGAAGATTTAAGAGAGACAATACAAAAAATTCTAAACTCCATCATGGGTAGACCTAGAACTGAGACATTTGTATTGGACAATATATACAGGTTAGGAAGGTTCCAACGAGATCGGATGGAAGGGAGACCGAGAGACGTAGTGGTACACTTTAATAAAAATGGAGAGAGAGAAGAAGTATGGAAGAAGATAAAAGGAAGAGCTAGTATTGAGTAT